GGCCATAACCCTGACCTGAGTACCCGTGTAATAACGATCGCCAACCTATCGCTTCTTTCTTTTCACTCTTTTCACAATTTCGCTGTCTGTATTTCCACGCCAGAGCTGTGGATAAGCAGCACCTTCGAGCAGCACTTCTCGTACAGTATGTACCTCTTTGCCTCGGGTTAAAACTGGAAATTAAGTGGCCATCGAAGATCGTGCGATACCGCTGCTCGACCTTCGCGAGCTTCTTAAAAGGATCGTCGGTAGAAACGCGATGCGATTTACACGCAAAACAGAGTGTTTGATACTTTGCTACTACGCGAGCCACCGGTTTTTATCAGGCTGGCAGGATATTATATATCTTTGGCGCATTCGCAAGGGAAACGTGTAAAAACGCGCAAGAACAATGAAATATCCCGGAATCTGCACACGGTGGAAAAGCATAATTGCACGAGCGGCGGTGAAAAATTATCGACTGGATTGGTGTAATTACGTGGAAAGTAGAAATCATCTTGTTTTCTTGACAGTGATTTTACATCGTGCAGAACAGAAATTCAAACGTAAAGTGTACAAGCGTTGAAACCTTTTTTCCATAACTAAATCCATCATGGTCTTTTTTGTATAATTCTTCGAAACATCGAAAATTCTAAAGAAATCACAATCTTAATATTCAGCGGTGGAAAAAAAAAAGTCGTAAACTTCATTCGTGAAAACGACGATGGATCTAGTCGTGAAGGAAATTTTTTGTTTGAATTTTTTACAATTTTTCCTACTACACGATGTAAGGTAATCCTCTTCACTCTTTGAAAATGAGACCAACACATGGTCCTTTTTTTCTTTTTTCACGAAGTCACGTCGGCAAATTACCAAGAGCTTTTACAGTTACACTCGTCGCTGTATACATACATTCTTCTGTTTGCATCGTTGATGGAAACTCGCGTGGAATTATCTAGTTATCTCGCACGAAACACTCGTTCTCTGAACAATACAAATTTAAAGTTGGCAAATAATTTCATTATTTCAGTTATCGTCAGGTGAGAAAATTCAACAACATGGTCGACGAAAAGACTCTTAACTGATCGGTAAGAAGAAAAACTACATGAACATTCGTCAACAATTGAAAGGAACATAAACGCAGAAGTAATTCAAGGATACCTGTTTCGTGTTACACGAAGAACGAGCAAAGGTAGACTTGCATCGTGTTTTTATCTAT